AGAAATAAATAGAAAAAAAATCACATTTTTAGCATTATTTTGTGAAGATTTTGTCATGTTTAGGTGAGCTCAATAGGCTATAATGCAAAATGTATTCACTGTGGGCTGTGCTAAAAAAATTAAGTCACTATTCTAAAATTTTTTCAGTTTATCAAGATGTTAGTAGGTATTTCATTAAAAAAGTGTTCCTTGGTTAAGTAAATTGGACCCTTGAAACAAATTTAAAGGCTTTTAAAAATTTTAAAAATTTTAACTAAAGTACTTTTTCAGAACAATAAATATGCTAAAGAAAATTAGAAACAAACAAGCTCTTTTTTATTTTTAAGGTTTACTGTTTATCAGAGCAAGGAAACAAATGGAAATAAAAATGCCCTGGTAAAGCACGAGAAGTCACAAGTCTCTAGCATCTTTACACATTTTTGGGGGGGGTTAAAATAAAAATATGTATTTGTACATCTCCTAAAGAATAAAGGAGTCGTGTTTTCAACAGGTAATTTTCTTTCTTTTTTTCCAACAGGTAATTTTCTTAATACATCTTGTGACTCCCCATCATATCTTAAATATTAGTGGTCCTGCTCCACAGACTTTTTCTGGGTCTTTGATTTTTACTTCTATTTCTAACAGTGATGCTTGCAGCATTACCTCCCAGCATCTGGCCTGGCTTTTAGGAAGGATTATGTAGAATTTTTTCCTTCCTGATTACCCCTCTTCTCAGTATCAAAGCCTAAAGATGCAATCAAAGCAGAATAGCAGGAGGCTTTATTTCTTAGAGAGGACATTTGCACTTCTGAAGATAGCACACTGGTGCATACCAAGTTCCCAGCTCCTCTGCTCAGCTCAGGAACATTCCTTCTGGATGCTGTCTCTCACGCACATTCAACAAAATCATTAAAAAGTAATATTAGGGCACACCAAACATTCTGTAATAACATTGATGTAAAGAGGATGAATATAACATCTATAGTACACAGTCCTACTTGAGGAGTTTTTTCGAATTTTGTCAATAAAGAGCGTCGCTGATCCTTATGGACTGAACTGTGTCCCCCGCCCCCCACCGTCCCCAAATTCATGTGTTGGGTTCCTAACCTCTGATGCGACTGTATTTGGAGATGGGGCCTTAAAAAAGGTAATTAAGGTTCATGAGGTCATAAGTGTAGGGCCCTACCTAATCCGATAGGAATGCTGTCCTTGTAAGAAGAGGGAGAGAGACGCTAGGGTTGCTCAGGCACCGAAAAGCCATTTGAGGACACAGGGGGAGGGTGGCAGCGCTCTGCAAGCCAAGGCAGGAGGTCTCAGGAAAAATCAAACCTGCTGACACCTTGATCTTGGACTTCTAGCCTCCAGAACTGTGAGAAAATTTATTTCTTTTGTTGAAGGCACTCAAGTTGTGGTATTTTCTTATGGCAGCCCTAGCCAACTAATACATGAATCCTGTTTCCATTTTCGTTGTGAGTTCTAAAAACTCAGAACCAAATGCGAAGTTCATGGAAACCATACTGTTATTTCTCATGGTTCACATGATTTTAGTCTTTTTTTTTTTTGGTGACACAGACTTTTTCTATTTTAATTTTGTTAGCTTATTATTTGCTTTCATTGTTTCCCACCTCAAAGCCTTTGTAGGAAAGAACCAGGGTACGAAGAAATAAATAACAATTTAAATAAATTCTTTGTGTTTATAGGTTCTCCTATTTCACAGGCTTACCTTCTCAGTGTCCTGTGCTGGTCCCTTTTCATTTTCTAGGCCCTTTAATGTGGGAGTGCTGCAGGGCTCAGACTTAACTTTGTCCTGTATAAACTGGCTCCCTGCAGGATCTCGGTCAGTCTCATGCCTTTAAACACTAGTGATACATACATTTAGCCTACTCTTTTCCTCGGAACCCCTCACAAATATCCAACGACCTAGTCAATATCTTCAATTAGACATCTAATAGGTATCTCATATTTAATTTGTCCAAAGCCAAGCCAAGCCAAGCTCCAAATTCTTCCCACCCCTTCCTGTGGTGCTGATAAACCATCTTGGTCTTCTCCAAGATAAACATCAACTCCATCCTTCCAGTTGCCTAGGCCTAACACCTTGGAGTCTCCCTTGACTTTCCTTTCTTTCATCTCCAATTTCCCATCTTACAGCAAGTCCTGTTGGCTTTTCCATCAAAATATTATCTAAACGTTGACCATTTTTAACGCCTCCTTTCCTACCAAAGTAAAAGCGACCATCACCTTGCCTTCCAAGGTGTTCTGCTTCTGTGTTTCCCTCTGGTATTCTCCACAGCAGCTAGAGCATCCTATTAAAATGTAAATCGGATCAGGTTACTTGTCTGCTCAAAAGCTTCCAGGGGTTTTCCATCTCTTCCAGATTAAAAGGCAGCCCTTATAATGATCTACAAGGTGCCAAAAGGGCTGGTTTTTAGTTATCTCTCTGGCATCAAGCATTTTTCCCTGACTCCCCTGGTTCCAGCCCCACTGGCCTGCACTTGCTGCCACGTCTGCCTAGAACACTCTTCTGCAGGCTATCCGCAAGGCTCACTCTCATCTCCAAGTCTCTTTATCACTTTATTAATCAAATATCACTTTATTAGAGAAGCTTAGTTTGTAGTGTGCTGGTAAATGTTTAACAATTAGCTCTCGGAGGAAAAGTGTGTGCTTGTATTCACATTAAAACACAATTTTAAGTTTCATCTGCATTGTTGACATTTTATTCATCATTTTCTGAAGTTTAGGGTGACCATCAACAGACAATAAAACAAGCTCTGATTTGGTGCACTCATCAGATTCTCTGGTGTAAATATTCCCAGCATGGCCAACTGCAGGTGCCTACAGTGCTGCTATTTCAGGCGGTGTTGGGAATAGATGAGTGGTAGCCGCACTCCCTTCCAGAGCATTTCCACCAGGCAGACGCGATAGACACGGATGACCTCAAAAGCGTGGATAGTAAACTGTAGCAAACCAGTTAGGAAGTGATTCGTTTTAAATACTTATTACCTTTGTTTTTGTAAAATTTATTTAATCTTAAGTTCTAGAGATGACTGTTTTTCAGCTGGTTTACAGAATTCCTGGAAAGTTGATTGCTTCTGTGAGCTGGCAAGAGTAGGTTCTGGGACAACAGGGGCCATTTTGCTTATCGTCCTCTAGCAGATGGCTACCCTCTTTCAGTCACTCTTCATCCCCCTTATCCTGCTAGATTTTTCTCCTTTATTAGCATTGAAGACACACACACACACACACACACACACACACACACACACACACACTTTTTTTCCTTGCCATTGGAATTTAGGTGAAGTAAAGCCAGGTAATTTGCTTATTTTGTTCACCTCTGTATCCCTCGTGCTTAGAACACATGCTTTAGGTGCTTATTTATTGAAAGAATGGATGAGTTTATTATATTTTGTTCAAAATGGATATTAGCTTGTTATAGAAAAAGCAAATAACTGGGGATCAGAATAGGGCTCTATGAAGTCGTTGACTGCAACAGTTATGTGCAGCTCATCTGATTCTCACAGCTTCCGTAGGAGGGAAGTGCTATTATTGTTACCACATTGCGGGTGAGGCGACTGGGCACAGCTTCGTCCAATGACAGATAGCAGATGAAAAAAACACAGCCAGGGTTCACACTCTGACATTTTGCTTCCAGAAACAATACTATAAAAAAAAATTCTTTTTTAATTGTTGAAAATTTTAAAAATGTACAGAAGTAGATGGAAAAGAATAATGAACGGCAAATGTCCATCCTCCAACTACAACATTCATCAACTCCTGGCCAATTTCTTTTCATCTATGCTCCTTTTCCTGGTTAGATTATTTTGAAGGAAATCCAAGCCATCTTTTTACTAATTATTTCAATGTTTATCTCTAAAAGATAAATACTAAACCGCATTCTGGTTGGAAATTTGGTACTAAACATTTTTGGCCTAGTGTTTGTGGGTGTTATTTAATTTTTCTGAAATGAGGTTTCCTTATCTGTAAAATGGATACTGAGATTTTTTTGAATATTAAGTAAAACAATATATTCAAAACACTTTGTTAAACTATAAAACATTATAAAAGATTGGGTTTTCAACTCATTCGTCATTACCCACATTGTATGTACTATTGACATGTAGTTAAAGGCTCTACATCAAAGCCTAGCTTGGCTGAGTACAGACAAGTGTGACCTGCTTTTTCCCAGCAATGTGGTTTCCCAAATAACATCATGCCTCATAAATACGCCAGAGTTCTTATAGCGAGTCAGCAGTCACATGGAACGTATAAGTCCTTGCAAGACTGTAGTCTTAAGAGAAAACAATAAAGTATTACTTTTATATTGTAGTAAAGAGGAGCTGCTGAGCATCATAAATTAAAAAAAAAAACATTTTTTTTTTTAATTTGAGACAGAGAGAGAGAGCACAAGTGGGGAAGAGGGTCAGAGAGAGAGAGGGGAAGCAGACTTACTGCTGAGCAGGGAGCCCGACATGGGGCTCAATCCCAGGACCCTGAGATCATGACCTGAGCTGAAGGTAGATGCTTAACCGACTGAGCCACCCAGGTGCCCTGAGCATCATAAATATTTACAAGAATCTATCACAACTTGCTTCCCAAATAGGAGTATGGGTGTTTCTAGGTGTACGCAACATTGTACGAGGGTGAGGGAGGGGAATAAGGCGAGAGGACAAGATCCCTGTGGCACAGCTTGGTGGAGCCTCAATTGTACTCTATCATAAATACTACAAATTTTAAATAATAATAACAATCACATCAACAGACACTTATATAGTTCTTAATATGTGTCAGGCACTGTTCTAAATGTTTAACTTGTATTAACTCATTTAATCCTCACAACTCTGTGGGGTAGGTACAGTTATTATCTCCATCTGGAAGATGGGCAAACAGAGGCACAAAGAGGATAAGAAGTTTGCCAACATCACACAGCTAATGGTGGGGAAGCCATGATTTCAACCTAGGTGTCTAGTTTCAGAGTCTGTGCTTCTGCTACTAGGCTACCTGTCCTATCAAAAAAAAAAGGAGTGCTCGCGTCGGCAGCACACACACTAAAACTGGAATGATACAGGGAAGATTAGCATGGCCCCTGCACAAGGATGACTCGCAAGTTCATGAAGCCTTTCATATTTTTCTGGATTGATGCCAGGTTCGGGGTATTTGTAGTAATGCCTTGTGGTTTAAAAAAGCAATTATTGGACTTAAGTCAGAAGATTTGGGTGACAGGTCCTATGCTGTGGTTTACTAAATAAATAACTTTGTGTAAATTAAAAAAAAAAGAAAAAAACAAAAGAAAAAGGAGCCAATATAACAATATCTTCCCAAACATCTAGGTATTCAAGTACTCCCCTTTATAATTCTTATTTGTAAAAAAATATCCATGAAATCAACAGACTGGTCAGCGGTTCATGTTTTGTTCTAAGACACACTCGAAAATAAATTCATATTTACTAAAATAAAAAGAAACACAGGTGACCCTTAAACGAGGCGAGGGTTAGGGGCACCAGCCTCCACACAGTTGAAAATCTGTATATTACTTTTGACTTCTCCAAAACTTAACTACCAATAGCCTGCTGTTGACCGGAAGCCTTACAATAACATAACCAGTAAGTTAACACATATTTTGTATGGTCTATGTATGCTATACTGTATTCTTACAATAAAATAAGCAAGAGAAAATAAAATGTTATTGAGAAAGTCATAAGGAGGAGAAAATATATTTTTAGTACTATAAAAAAATCTGCACATAAGTGGGCCCACGCAGTTCAAACCTGTGTGTTCAAGGGTCAACCGTATATTTATCTGTATTTCACTCCAGATGATCTCATCTATCGTGATCTTGGACATATTGGATTATGGAGTAGAATGCAGTAAAATTGGAACGAATTGATAATCAAGATGTCAAAATTTGGACTCATGGCAAGTATGTTGTGTAAGTTAGGCCTTCTGGACACACTGTCCTACTGTCCAGAAACACGTAGGTGAGAAGTGTGAAATCAACTGCTTAGGGACTGAGGCTTAGAAAACAAAACATAATAAAAAAAAATAATAAAGCTGTAAACTTGACCAGTGGAAAAAAAAAAAGAAAACAAAACAAAATCTAGGGATACAATCTGTAAACAGTGGGGATTAGTCATGGGGTTTCTCAGGAGTTCTTATTATTTCCTGACACTAAGGATACGCCCTGAATAACAATCCTTGTTCTCAAGTACCTCAAAGCCTACTGGGCAAGACGGATTTGTAGATATTTTAAAGCAATGTGATATGGAGTTTGAGAGAAGTTTGCAAAAGATAATAGGTTTACAGGGTAAGAAGTGTTCATGTTCTGTCTGGGAGAATTGGAAGGGGCTTATTTATGACTTCTAGAAAAAATCTGGCTGAGAGAAAAAGACTTCAAAGCTTGCAGAAGAGAAGGAAGGGAGAAGCCTGCCAGTGCCAGGCCCTTTTCAATCCTGGGAAATAGTTCTAAGCCAATTGCATGGAGGAGAAAAACTGACACTCAGGGGTCTATGACGATATGTGCAGAACATGTGTCCATGCTTAGTCTCTCTATCTCCACAGCTCAAAATCCCTTGCTTTTTACACATAAGAAATGGAGTTAGAGCTAGAATTGTGTTTGCTTCAGGATTTGATTGAGTCTGGGCATGTCTTATGAAGAAGTGACATGAGGCCACCAAGATTCTCTGACATTGAGGCAGTATAATATGATGTTTAGGAAACAGCATATTTGGAATACAGATCACTAGAAAGTAGAGAAGTCTGCATATTATACTTCAGGGTTCTGGGTCTGGTGACCAGATTTAATTCTGGGTTCTATCTCTTGTCAACCATGTGATGTGGGGTAATTAATTTAATTTCTTCATGCCTTTGTTTTTTCATCTGTAAAACTGATGGCATCACTTATTTAGGGGGTGGTCATAAAGATTAAATTAGATCATGCGTATGTAGAACACATTCTGGCAACAAAGAACTTCAGGGAAAATAGCTTGTTATGTAGGAAGAGAAAGTTCGCCGTATTGGTGAGAATAGGTTTGGTTTGAGAATAGCCAGCCAGTGTTTTGGGGGCGGAATTATCCTCTAGTGTAGGCTCCTTGAATTCAGGTCAAAATCTCAGGATAAGGGAATACGAATGGAGAACAAGTGGAAATCAAAAGAGCCGAGATATCTAGAGTTCATGATGGCCATGGCAGTGGTGCCAGTTGCTACGGAAATTAAAGCTCTCTCGGGGCACACTTGGCCCCCTCAATCCCAGGTGCAGACAATCCCATGTGGGCTGCAGCAGTGCACATGCTTTTGTGTGGGACAGTAGAGACCTCTTCAGTAAACATACTGGCTACTGCACCGGATGTCAAGGGCAACAGCAAACATCATATCAGTAAGCTAGAATGGAAGAGTACAGCCAATAGAATATTCAGAAGAACACATTCTTAATTTTTTGGGTGGCTGGCTCAGTTTTTCACAGGGCATGCTAGGACAGAACCAGAAAAATCCTGATGCCTGATTACCATTGTGATTATTTTTTCCCCTTGGGCTGGAGTGTTCTGGGAAACACAGTTTCCACTTAAGTAATAGTGGAAGGGAAGGAACTAAGGAAATTTCTCCTAATAATAGAAACAGACAAGAAAGTGGCAAATAATATTCAGTATAGGCAAGAGTAATGGTCAGCATCCAGTAGCGAATAATAGAAAGTGTGATTTCAAGGTAAAGAATTCTGAGATGTCAATTCGAATGCAAGGGTAGATTTTCATTTAATCACTCAATGTGTTATTTTAATACAAGGGAAACATTGGATATTATTAGGAAAGTTATTATCATGATAAAAGAAAGCATAGTTTCCTTTCACTCAAAAAACATACCCAAGACAAACAATAGAGCTAAACATAAATAAAAGTCAGTGGTAGAAGGTAATAAAAATTAGGGAATGGAAACCTTCCAGGTAGAAGCAGATTTGAAAGAGTGGAGTCTGATGTGGAAAAGGCCCAGAAGGAGATAGAATAAAAGTCTGTTGCACAGTAAAGGGTGTGGGTGGGGAGAGTGAATAAGCAGAGGGCTTCACATATCATTATTGCTCTAGTATGAACTTTATGTAATAGTAACAAAAAACCTAAGCCTAATTAGTCTCTTCCAGTAAAAGTATTTGAGAAATTTTCCATTGCCCAATACTTTCCCATGATGGAAAATACGCTGCATGGGAGGTATGTGTAAATATTTGATTCGTGTTTTACTGATTTCAGTGTCACAACCTATCAATCATTAACACTTCAAAAAACATATACCTGGTTGGTTGTTTCCAAAGTACATTCTTTCCTGAAGGATTTTTAGACTCTTAGGTCCCTGGGGAACACCTAGTCTACTTTTTTAATGTCACAGGTGGTGAAAATGAGACCAAGAATGTTGAAGTGACTTTCACAGAGTCCTCCACCCAACCTCAGCGGGCTCCTAGGACCAAGAACTTCAGGCTCCCAACTCAAGTCTCTTCTTAAGATACTAAGGAGAATTACTGGTCACCTTTTGTTCTGAAAGAAGGTGTATGGAAATATAATAACATTGTTATAGTTGCAGAAATTGAAGTGAAGAAATTTAGAAACTTGTAGGGATTGGCATTTATTTCCAATGCTATTATAGGTGGTCACTTAACAAAATTAAATAATAGCCTCTATAGAAGGAATTATGAGAATGGCAGCTTGACATTTTACTACTATGAGGTAAAGGTTCCCAACCTAGTGCCTAACATAGGGTCTGCATGTAAAAGTATTAGTTAAATCTGATTGGGCAGCAATATGCTGGGGCCTGACCTCATGACAAAGTAACTTTGTCTTCCCTGCCTTATAAAAGAGCGTCTACATATCAGTTTCCAAACCCCTGTTCTTTGGCTTATCATCTTATTTTCGGTTTCTTAGGAGCAGAGGCAATGTGGCATGACCGATTGGTTGGAGCCCGAGCTCCAAGGCTATGCTGCAGGATGCGAAGGTTGCACTGAGTTCGTGGGGTATGGGGCATATACTCGCAATCTTCTGCAGTGTCACTCTCTCCCAAAACATAAACTAATAACTAAGATCCACATGGTGCTATTGGTGGGCATGCTTTGGCTTAGTTCCTTCAACAAAATAACTGTAAAAAATTCTAGTTTAGATCTTGGCCCTAAGTTTTTTATCTGTCAGTAAAGAAATTATTAGTTAACAGAATTAGAAATTAGTTACAGTAAGGAAAATGTACCACTTTTATTTTCTATTTATGTAATTTTTTGCCCAGAATCAATTCAGGGACATAAAAATGTTTTAATCCATGTTTTTATTTTCCTCATGCAGAATGATAATAAACTTCCTGGGTTCCATGATGATTGTAAGAGAGAGTACACCTTTTATTTTATTTATATAAATAAAAAGTTTATTTATATAAATTTATAATATTTTATTTATATTGAAATGTAAGTGAAAATATGATTTAGACATATTTGAGAAGTCACATCAGGCGAAGACAGCTAGGTGCTTTGGAAACAGGCTGAGTGGATAGACAGTGCAGGGTAGTGTTGAATGCTCTATCTTAATTTTCTCACATGGGAATGGCAATAGCACCTAGTTCATAGAGTTGTTTTGGATATGAAATATAATGACATATGTTGGTTGAAAATAAAAGGACAGAAAACAATATACAATGCAAACACTTACAAAACAATCAAAGCAAAGCAAAAAAAAAAAGCTGGGGTGGTTATACTAATAACAGGTAAAGTAGATATTACTGTAAAGAATATTACCAGGGACAAACAAAGGTATTATACAATGATAAAGGGGTTAAATCATTAAGAAGACCTAACAATCCTAATTGGATATGCACCTAAAAACAGAGCTTCAAAATACTTGACACAAAACATTGATAGAACTGAAAGGAGAGGGGCTCCTGGGTGGCTCAGTCCTTAAGCGTCTGCCTTCGGCTCAGGTCATGATCCCAGGGTCCTGGGATCGAGCCCCACATCAAGCCCCGCATTGGGTTCCCTGCTCCACGAGAAGCCTGCTTCTCCCTCTCCCACTCCCCCTGCTTGTGTTCCCTCTCTTGCTGTGTCTCTCTCTGTCAAATAAAGAAAATCTTTTAAAAAAAAAAAGAACTGAAATGAGAAATATATAAATTCACAATCCCAGTTGGAGTTTCAACCCTCTTTTAGTATTAATAGAACAAATAGACAGAAAATCAGATGAGATATAGAAGACTTCAACAACATAGTCAACAAATTTGACCTATTCATTATTTATGGGAAACGCCATGCAACAGTGGCAGAATACATACTCTTTTCAAGTGCACGTAACATTCACCAGGATAGACCGTATTCTAGGCCATAACACAGATCTTAATTAATTTAACTGGATTGAAATAAAATAGTACAAACTATGTTCTCTGGCTATGAAGAAATTGAAATAGAAATTAATAACACTAATATATAGAAAATTTTGAAATATTTGGAAATTAAACAACATACTTCTAAATAAAACATGGGTCAAACAAATAATCACAGTTGAGTTTATAAAACAATTTGGACTGAATTAAATGAAACTATTACATATCAAGATCTGTGGGTGCAATCTAAACAGTACTTGGTCAGAAAATTTTAGCATTAAATTCTTATGTTAAAAATAAGAAAGATCTCAAATTAATGATAGAAGCTTCAATCTTAAGAAACTAAAACAACAACAACAACAACAACAAAAACAAATTAAACCCAAAGTAAGCATAAAGAAATAATAAACATAGGAGAAGGAATTAGTGAAGTAGAAAGCAGAAAAATATAAAGAAAAATCAATGGACTGTAACACTTGTTTACAAAGGTCAATAAAACTGATAAATCTGCAGCAAGACTGACAGAGGGGGAAAAAAAAGAGAAAGAGAGAGAGAGAGAAAAGATCACTTGCCAATATTAGGAATGAAATAAGAGACATCATTACTGTTACTCCAGGTAACTGGAGACTAATAAAGAGGGACGCCTGGGTGACTCAGTCATTAAGCATCTGCCTTCGGCTCAGGTCATGATCCCAGGGTCCTGGGATCGAGTCCCACGTCAGGCTCCTTGCTCAGTTAGGAGCTTGCTTCTCCCTCTCCCTCTGCTGCTCCTCCTGCTTGTGCTCTCTCTCTCTGACAAATAAATAAAAATCTTAAAAAAAAGACTAAGAAAGAAATATTATGACTAATTTTGTGCCAATAAATTTGGAAAGTTAGATGGGCTAGGCCAATTCTCTTGAAATCAGAAACTACCAAAGTTCATGTAAGAAGAAATAGAAAATTCAAATAGTTCTTATATCTATTAAAAACCATAGAAGTTACAGTGAAAAGCTGTGCTATGAAGGAAACCCCAGGTTCAGATGGCTTCACTGGTGAATTCTACTAATTAATTGATTTAAGGATGGAGCAATACCAATTCTACGCAAGCTCTTCCAAAAAAAATAAAAAAAGGAGAGAATGCATCTCAATTCATTTGATGATGCCAGCATTACTTTAATAAAGACATTAAAAGAAAAAAAACCCCACTAAATTCTATTATCCCTCATGAACATAGATGCAATGCAAAAACCTTGACAAAGTCTTAGATAATTGAATTCAGTGATATATAAAGCATAAATGGATTTATCCCAGGAATTCAAGTTTAGCTTAAAATGTGAAAATTCAGTCAATGTAATACACCTTATTAACAGACTAAAAATCATATAATCATTTTAATAGATGCATAAAATACATGCATGTATATTTCACTGTATGTTGCTCTTTTCACTTAGCTTTGTTTTTTTTTTATTTTGTTTTCAATCTATTTTAATTAATGAATACTTTTTCAGATGGTATTACCAAACTCATATAAAAAGGCAGGCCTCTGTCCCTTTTGATTTTTTTTCACTTTTGGTTTTTGCTTTCCTGAAATAATCACTTTCAAATTAGCTGTTTATTTTGGTATTTACCTTCATGTTTGTAGATAACATGCTTCTTAAAGTTTTTATTTTTTATTTTTAGACATCATCTATTGCTTTTCTACTAAGGAAGTTGATAATTTTGTTCTCTCTTTCACACACACATTCAGATACATATTTCTTCATGTGTCATATCCCTTAAAAATATAGTATTGCTTTTCTTAGTTCAATCAATAATCTGTGTTTATATTATTATATGACTATTATTTGTAGTTAAGCCACATATTGCACTATGCTTACACTTTTTTTTTTAAAGATTTTATTTATTTATTTGACAGAGAGAGAGAGAGACAGCGAGAGCAGGAACACAAGCGGGGGAGAGGGTCAGAGGGAGAAGCAGGCTTCCCGCTGAGCAGGGAGCCCGATGTGGGACTCGATCCCAGGACCCAGGGATCATGACCTGAGCCGAAAGCAGATGCTTAACGACTGAGCCACCCAGGCGCCCTAAGTTTACACCTCTTGTTCAACTTCTTGTATTCCCTGGAGTTGGTACTGTTTAGAGTTAGTGCTTTGTATCTGTTGCTTACTAGGATTCAACCACTAGTTCAACCCCAAATTCTACCTATGGACTTAAGAAATATCTCTTTAAATAGCTCACACATCATATATTCATTTTTTCCTAGATGACACCCTTTCTTCTGCCTCCTTGATCCAGTTTAGACTGGTTGCTTTCTAGGAATTTTGAACAACTGTAATCTTGGGAAATCTATTCACTATTATACTAGATGTTTTTTCCCCATCTCTCTCTCTCTCTTTTTTTCCTTCTACTTCCCCCCTTCCCCCTGGTCTTACTTTGGATCTCCTGTTTACTGCTGTCCTTGTGGGTTTATCCACTTACAATTTTGTAACTATTGTTGTATAGGTACTTGGAGCAAAGGTGAAGATAAAAATATGGGTTCAATATGTAACTGGATCAAAGTTGTTAACTTTCCTTAGATTTGGCTTGAAATACCTCAGGAAGTCATTCCTTTGACTCATGCATAAAGATATTTAGTCTTCCATAGAACATTCAGAACATAAAGTGAAGTCATGGGAGATTTAGGTATACACTGGTTTTTAGTTTTTCAAACAAATCCAAATTGCCAATTCCTTGATAAAGGAATTTAAGGTGTCCAGATCTCCTCTTTATACTTGTGATTCTTTTCTAAGTTTTATTTATTTTTTCTCAGTACAAGAAAAAAGTAGTTAGGACATTGTGAAATAGCATAGTGAGATAGTAATGTTCTATATTTGCACAATGCCTTTTATCCTGAAGGTTTGCCAAGTACTTTATAACTTGAAGAAGAGATTGTTTCGTTCTCAATTTAAAAGCACCTCATTCTGTGATGAAATATTATTATGTTACGAGGTACAGCTGTAAAAAATACTATTTTAATGAAAGAAACATACCTTTGGGGGAAATAAAAGAATCAGATGACTTTTGCTGACAAAAATTTTCAATGGGCATAGCTCATTAGGCTTTCAGTTTCTTGTAGGATGGCATCTAAATTCTACTGGGGAACTTAGTTGGATTTCTTACTTTGAGTTGGGGATAAATGTTATCCATCATTTGGTCATTGGTAATATGCCTTATAGCATTCTAATACTTGAAGTCAGCATCTACAGACTAACTCAAAAAAGTGTTCCATTAAGATTGCCCAAAGGTTAGAGGCATAAATAAATAAAAGGTTTTGACATGAAAAGTATTATTTTGTAATATTTATAGTTTCCAAGGTAATAGTAACACTAAGGTTTTACCAAGGATGTTCATATATATGTCTCAAATTTTTAATATCGCAAATGAATCCTAAGAATACAGAGCCACATAAGGTAGTAAAACTAGACGTTCAATTTTTTTTAAAGACTCTATTTATTTTAGAGAGAGAAAGACAGCATGAGTGGGAGGGGCAGAGAAAGAGAGAGAGAGAGAGCGGGCATCTCAAGCAGACCCCATGCTGAGTGCGGAGTCTGATGTGGGGCTTTATCCCAGGACCCCGAGATCATGACCTGAGCTGAAACCGAGAGTTGGTCACTCAATCAACTGCGCTGCCCAGCAAAATATTCTATTTTGTAGACTACTATTTAAATTCTGTAGTGACACTGCTTATTTCGTAGTCAGACTTCTGGCAACCCCAAACCAGACCTGCAGCTGAGAACCTGAACATAAACATAGAAAAGCATCTGAGTAGTCACAATAGATGTCAAAAAAGTTAGCATTTTATTTGTGGTGGAGACTTGCCAGTTCTCACATTTAGCAGATATTCCATTCCACAGCTATTTACAAAAAAAGACAGGCTGCTATTGGTAGGCACACTAAGAGCAGAGTCTATATTATTTTAGAAAGATTTCCAAAGATGAACAAACAAATCTGTATTGCTTACTACCATTAAACAGAAAAGTGATTCTTATTGGACTTCACTTTCTCCAACTATACTGAAATTTTCTTTTTTCTTTTTCTTTTTTTAAAAAAAAGATTTTATTTATTTGTCAGAGAAAGAGAGAGAGAGCGTGCGAGCAGGAGCTCCCGCAAGCACAAGCAGCGGGGAGTGGCAGGCAGAGGGAGAAGCAGGCTCCCCGCTGATCAGGGAGCTTGATGTGGGGCTGGATCCCAGGACCCTGGGATCATGACCTGAGCCGAAGTCAGATGCTTAACCGACTGAGCCACCTATACTGAAATTTTCTTGCGTCAAATAAAATCCCCAACCCACATCAATTTAAACCCCCGTATTAGCTGAAAAGCTCAGGATTATGTTCGAAATGCATCAAAACTCTCAGGTATAGAAAATAGGATGGATTACACCTTACCTAATTAATGGCAATTTCATTTATGCCTTCAACAAACATTTTATTGGTTGCATACTCTAAGTGCTGGGTACTGTTCTTTTGAGAAAAATATATTGGTGAACCAAAGAAACAAAATCCCTAACCTTGTAGAACTTATATTCTACCAAAAAGAGACAGATGATAAGCATAATAAATTAACGAATGATAAAGTGCGTCAGAAGATGTTAAGTATTGTGGGAAAAAAATAGAGCAGGGTAGAGGGACCTAGGGAGGCTGGAAACATGGGGGGGTGATTGCTGTTTTAATTAGGGTGGCCAAGCTAGGCCTTACCGAAATGGTGATTTACACAAAGACTGGCGGAGGTGAGGGCTATCTGGGAATAGAATTCCAGGCTGATGAAAGGCTGATGGGAGTATGCTTGGTGTATTCCAGAAACAGTAAAAATAACAGTTTGTTGGGCAGAATAAGGGGGAGGAAATATAGTCAATGACTCGGGAAGAGGAGTATCCACCATGTGCATTTTAGACCATCTTCAGGAACTCTTGCTTTTCCTTGGAGAGAGATGAGGGGCCATGGTGGGTTTTGAGATAATGTGACATACTTTAGAAGGATCCTTATGACTTCTATGTGGAGAATAGATAATAGAGGGTTTAGGGTAGGAAGAAGAACAAGGTAGGCAGGCAATTGCAATAATTCAGGTGAGAGTTCATGCAACTTTCACATACATTAAACATTTTATTAAAACATAATTCTCTACATCTATCCTTATATTAAAAGTCATCACATGTTCTTAATTCTTATATGCAACATGACATAACAAGAGTGTCTGCCATGCACACAACACTTTTCCAGGGAAGCTACCTATGCCCAGGGTTTGCTTTAGCTCAAGTGTTTTGGAGTCCACTCCCTTCCTCCAGCCTGCCTTGGGGTGACTGGAGAGGGAATTGGCCTAAAGACAGCCATCCATAGCCTGTTAATCTTCTAGGAGTGGGCCTGGGACAAAAGGCTCTCTCCCTTTTGAGCTGATTCAACCAGATCCTTCTCAGAATTTTAACTGAGACTGATGCAAAGAAAACTAGTTGATAACATAAAGTGAAAGGGACACACAGGAGCATGTAGGTTAACAGTGGAATGGTAGAGTAAAGAATATTTGGGATGTCCTGTTTCTCAGACCCACAGAGAAGATTAGGAATCAGAAAGAACTTACAGTTTCTGGCCCTATGACGTTAATTCTAAATGGTTCCTGCTTTTTCCAGGGTTTCCACATATGTTTGAACTTATATTACCATCCATGGTTTCAGGTAAATTGAAAAAAATCTCTCTTTCTAACAAATAAAGGAGCCTAACAGAAATTATAACCACTAGTTTATCAGTCTTCTTGCATTCGTGATCATCTATAAATCATTTTAGGCTATCACCTCTTGCAAAAGATTTTCACTTTCTATGTCCTTAAGATGTAGTGGATGAAGACACAGATTTAGCAGCCACACTGCCTGAGTTCCAAGGCCAGCTCCATCCCTTACTACTTATGTGATTTGGGGCAAGTGTTTTAACCAGCCTTTCTCAGTTTCCACATCCATAAAAAAGAGATAACAATATCTCTTGGAGTTGTTGAGACACTTAAATTTGTGAATATGGAAAGCTCTCAGACGATACCTGGTATGTAGCAAAGACTCCAGAAGCATCGTGTCCTGATGATGAAATAAACCGTTATTCCTAGGTGATAAAAAAAATTACTCCAGGTGACTGCTATTGTGTGTGAGTTAACTGATGGTATTTACTATTAGAGTCTTCCAAATAGTTAGACAATTTCTACACTCTACCTGGCATGTTTCAGTCAACAAGCCTTTGTTAACTGCAGAGCAACCGTTGTCTGTGGGAAAGGGGAAACAAGCAGGCACAGCGTTTGGTTCTTACTGGTATTTCGTGCTGGCAAAAGTGATGTCGACACTCAAGGAACTCAAAACTTACTCACGACCAGGGTCCAAGCTCCATGAGAACTTAGAGGACTCTGTTTTTTGTTTTAACTGCTACGTACCAGCACCTGGAATATAGTAGCACTCAATAAGTCTTTTTTGAACAAATGAGTAAATGTTGAATAAATGAAAAGTAATCACAATGAACAAGAAGGCAATCAGAGGATTTTGAAGTTAGGAGAGAGTTATAAATAAAGGGCTTTAAGAACACATAGGGGTGGGTAATAAATTCAGACCAGGGTGTTGGACCACGTGTATGGGGATGGAAGACTCAACATCTGAATTGGACTTTGATGAGCAGAGTTTTGACAAATTGTCCAGTGGGCTGGAGCTCAAAGGGAAAGCCTTCCCACCAGAGAGAATTCTAAAGGATTAGAGATATGAAAGTGTATATTCAATCTGAATTGAATTTTTCTGGGTGGTTGGAACTGAGAGAAACTGGTGGAGGACAAGAGCAGTCCAAAGAGTATGACAAGAGATAAGACTGAAAAGGTTGTTTGGAACTAGAATGTGAAATGACCTCCTGTCTCATAGTTTGAATTTAATCATTTAGGCATGAAATTAAAAAAACTAGTTTCTATTGAATTACATACATATAAGTTCACAATATTTAAGTAATATCAAATATTCATCAAGACAACATAGACCTAATAATCTCTGAGATTTTATTTATTATTTATTTATTTTTAAAAGATTTTATTTATTTATTTGTCAGACAGAAAGAGAGAGAGCACAAGCAGGGGGGTAGCAGGCAGAGGGAGAGGGAGGAGCAGGCTCCCTGCCAAGCAAGGAGCCGGACGCTGGGCTCGATCCCAGGATCCCAGGATCGTGACCTGAGCCGAAGGCATACACTTAACTGACTGAGCCACCCAGGTGCCCTAATCTCTGAGATTTTAAAAGGTAATTCTCATGGTAGTGTGGACAGAGACTAGAGAGAGAGACTAGATTTGGGGGGACAGTTGGTTTTTGCACTAAATCTTCTAAGAGAAAAATGCTTTTAGGATTTCTGGAATTTCAACAATGTTAACTCCATTAATCATTTTCAATTTCTGCCACAGCTTCTATAGTTAATAGTGCTTTTAAACTCCTCTTCTTAATTAGAGAGTCAATTCAAGAAATACATATTGTGGTCCTTTTAAGCATTGTGTACTTGGGGCAGGCACAGCAAGACAGAACAAGAAGCTTCCTGCGTAGTGGAAGATAGATCTCAGGCTTAGCCTTAAAGAATGAGTTATCAAATTTTAGATTTTTGATCATCTGGTTAAAAAAAAGGTATTTCTGTGTAGTTTTAACTTCTTGTCTCTTTTTATGAGAATGGATATCATTTCATATTTCTAAGGGCTGTTTTCTGAGAAGCCTGATCTAGGCTTTGTCCATTTTGTCCATTTGTCCATTTGTCCAGTTGATCTTTTCTCATTGGTTATATATGAAGGGAAGTAGTTGCTCATGTTATGAATTGCAATATTTCCCCCACTCTCTTATTGGCCTTTGTTTGCAGTTTTCTTATTCAGAATCTTTAAATATAGTCAGAGATATCCACTTTTTCTTTTAATGGCTTCTGGGTTTGAAAATTTAAATTTTGAAAATCTAAAATGGCATTTCATACTTATAAAAATGCCTCTATGTTTTGGTATTTTTATAATTTCATTAACCCATTTAGAGTTTATTTTGGTTTAACTTTTATTTTTTTCCCCAGTGGTTATCTCAACACTGTTTATCACATAACCTATAATCCATCTTTCCAGCACTAATCTGAAATTCCATCTTTGGTTCGGTTCCATTTGATCCTGCATTACCATATAATTCTCATAGCTTTAAATTTATTTATGCTATTTGTAATATAAGGTTTAATGAAAGTTACTCCCCCTTATTTCCTATTTAATCCTCCAGTCTTTCCCAGTTTTTTGTTAGCATCAGTTGTGATTTTTTTCCTTGATGATTATTAATTTTTTCACATCATAAATCTTCTCTTTTAAGAATCATGTTGGCATTTGCATTGTTTCACAACAATGCTACAACATGTATTTGGACTGAATGCATATTTGATCTGAAGTCTGCTATTTCTCTGATCTTTTCTTCACCAGGCTCTAGCCATCCTACTCTTTTTCATTTTTCTCAAATACTCCAAGCTTGTTTCTACTTCAGAGCCTTTGTATCTGCTGTTCCTGTTTCCAGGAGATTTCTTTTCTGATCTTTGCATGCATGGTTGATTCCTTTTCATCACTCAGCTGAGATGTCACTAGTCAGACAAGCTTTCCATGACCTATTTGGTACCTCCCACCCCAC